TGTCTATTGGTACTAAACACAGCACTGCATAGAAACCAAGCCTCATTTATAACCAAAGCTACCAACATCCTTCACATCAAACAGTCCTTATCATTTTCAGTTTGTGCTTGTGCCACAAGGCTCTCAGATTGCCTACTTTCAATTACTAATACTATGCTCACGATATGAAAGGTGGAATTAATTCAAGTGGTTCAAGACTAAGAACATCCCTATATGGCTCTAAATTACATGCACAGGACTTGTCACAGGGCCAAGCATGATGCAAGTTTAATGTTCCAGTACACAAAACGCACCCTCAACTTACTTTAAAAAAAGTCAATTACTGTATACGGAGAAGCAGTTTTTGCAGCAATCAGTTCCTATTTTAACACATTTGAAATGTGTTTAAGCATACTTCATGCTACTACTTGATATGGAAACAAGACTGAAGCTGATAGCTTTCCAAGGACTCCCATCCAGTTTAACTTTGAGGAGAGAGACTGCCATCTCCCAAAAATTCCAGAGGATGCTTCTTTTTCTTAGACCCTATCAACCTCTGTTCCCACCACGGAAAAGTCAAAAATGCATAGAAAATATTCAACAAGAGATTCTGTTGCTGGAAACATTCACTAAAAAAAACAGACAGCAGTCACGTTTAAACAGCAATTGTACAAACAAGTAAGATCAGTAAAGTACCAACAAGTCCTTGTTGTGCATCTGCTGATAAATATATTTTTCTCTCATTAAAGGACAATTGGATCTTTCAGTGACCAAAGAAAGTCTTTCTAGCAAGCAATGTGTTTTTTATGATTCAACATTACAGATTTTTATGATCCATTCAGAGAAAAAAAGTGTTCATGGTTACAGAAAACACATTTTATAGAAGAAAACCAATCATGCAGAGAAACATTTTAAACTCACCCAGTATTTAAAAGTTGTTTCAAAAGGAAAAGGAGCTAAGTTCTTCCAGTGACTTGCCCTCCTGATTGTAAATACAGGCTGAAGTCTAAAATAGACATCCTATCATTCAGCACAGTCACATCTGAACATGCAAACTTCCAGAGGGTAGAAAGAGAGGTCTATAACTTACACCAGGCAGTCCGGGGATAAAATTCACTCTGGCACAGGAGAGCACACAAGACAACACCGAGAAGCATCAATGTGAGTCCAGAGTCTTATTCAGTAGGTGAAAATCTGCCTCCTCTTAAGCAAAGAATTCTGCTGGGGGTGGGCACTGATAAAACACAACACTGCGTCATGACTGCACTAGTGAGACAAACCAATCCAATGAAGCTCATATTAAAAGCAACAAAACATTCCCCCCCCTTTTTTTTTCCCCAAGCATAGGCATAGACAAGAAAGGAAATCTCATTTTTGCCAGCCAGCTGGGCATCTGGGTGCGTCAGGTAATCTCTGAGGTCTTCTATTTGCACGCACACTTAAACGCATGCTTCATTCAAGTGCATGTGACAGTAGGGTACGTACATCCAATTTGGGAAAGATGCCTGCTACTTTATCCATGTCAGTAGAGGTCTCACAGGCTACACAGACTGCAGAAAGTTAAAGATGTGCACGAGTTTTGACTGGATTGGTGCCTAAGCAAGCAACTTCACTTTCAACAGTTCAACCTAAATTACCCAATCCAAATTCCTTCAACCACTTTCCTTTAAGTGGGAAACATTTTTGCATCCATGTCAAGGGAAAAATAAGTTTGCCTAAAAGCAACAGACTTAGCTTTATATTAAATATTTGCTTTAGTACTATGTAATGCAGCTAAGCCATTTGATTCAGTAAAAAAAAAAAAAAAAGTAAATCAAAACTGCATTGTCACAATTTAAAAAACTGACAGACACAAATTTGCCAGGACATGTTTCTTTTTTATAAATAAATGACGTTTTAAATTTAACTCTTAAGTTTCACTCCATTCTGAGTCACTTAAAGCCATGGACTCATATTCCAACACAATAAACTTAAATCAGTAAATTTTCTGCATCCTGAACATTTGAGAAAAAAAACAAGTAATTGATTCAGATTTGTAAACACAGACTTAGAAAAATAATTCTTACCTCATCTGTTTTTTCAAGTTTGAATAAAGGATATTTCTCAACAAGGAGGCAAAAGTTTTTTAAATCAGTTAAATTCAGCTGCAGATGATATTCAGGAATAATCTGGTAAATCTGAGATGTGGTTTGTATTTCTTAAGAAAACTCACATGGATTAGCAAGCCTACATCATCTTCAAAAAAGAATTAGGGCAAAACTCCAGCTAGAAATCTGCAATGCAGAAATTACTAAAAATCCCCAATAAGAAAAGAATTAAAAGTATCAGGCCACAATTCCTTGTAAGCAATGCTCACTCTTTATTTCAGGTCAATACCCAACTATTAAGCTTTCAATACAGCTGCTAACTTTGTGAAAAGCTGTATCTCTTAAGTCTGATGGCAAAGTCCTTCATTTTATTTCTGCAATAGCTAGCAGACAGGCTTCCTAGTTTTAGAGAAGTGAGAGAGGTTGATAGTTACACACTGGTTTTCACTTAAGTACAAAAGCAACATATTTTAACAGGAAGAATGCTAATTTTCTCCTGCAGATCTCAATGTATCTTAATACTTTTTTTTTTTTTTAACAAGTAGTGTCAACCAATTCCAGTGAGAGTGATCATAACTATAAATATGAAATCAGATGGTATTTATAGGTCTAGATTCCAAGGTTTTAAGGAAGTGAATAAACAAATACACACTTTCCTGGAGCACTTAACTTCATAAAGTAAAAAAAAGAACACAAAATATTATTTCATGTTCTCTTTGCAGATGACAAGTTGTTGATGTCTGCCTTGGGAAAGCTCAAACCCAAATGGTCCAAATAAGCACTAAATCCCCCCTAGTACTCCTGAAAAGACCATAGAATACCCACCACCAGCATGCAGATGCAGGTAAAATGACTGTGAAAAGGACATGTTATTTGAAAGGTATCTACATTGATTTCAAAAGCCTGAAGCTGCCAGCCCAACCTGTGGGAATCATCTTGGACCCAGGAGAACAAGAAATTGGAACCATTTGAGTGTCGCTTCCCATGAGCCAGCCTGACCACAGTGGTGGTTTCTTGTTGACCTAAGCTTCAGAGCTTGGTCTACACACGAAGCAAAGGATATAATAAACAACACAGAGAAAAGGAAATATCTTCAAAGCTCTTGTTCTGCTAAATCAGCATTGTGGACCTCAGGCATGGGAAAATTCAAGCCAAGATAGGCTGACCATTAAAAAGTTACAATTTGGGGATACCACTAAAGAAGCAGGCAAAGGAAAATTTATACGACCACAAAATAAATGATGAGGATCGGCTTTTGGCAATGGCAGCACCAGTTTGGTTCCCATCAAATCAAAGATTTGCAGAAATGAGAAATATTATATATTACATTCTCAATCAGATTTTTTTTTTTTAATTGTAATTCATTCTAGTAAATCCACAACTGAGAGAACCCTGCTTGATTCAACAAACCCATGCTAGGCAGATTTATATTCTGTTTTAAATAATGTAATAGGACATGCCAATTTAAACAGTTAATTTTGAAACCCTTTGTTTTGCATTTCCGCATCAGCTATTTTCTGAAAGATGCCCAGGTTCTCATTTACCAGTAACCACTAAAACATTACTTTGCAACTTAATGTAACTTTATATCATATGTTACCAGCCTCTTTCCATTCAGATGGGAAGGCTACATATTTAAGCAAATATATTTATTTTAAAATACATACATTTTGAGTAGGACATAATGGGTGATGATTATCATTTTCTAACAGGAAAACCTGTAAGAATTGGAACCAGAACACCCATAAGCTGCATTTTGTCAGACACAGAAATATAATAAAAACATCCAAAAGCTGCAGGATCTGTTGGTACTCTAAAACTGAGAGCAAAGAAGCAGCTGGAACTGGGCACTTTGTTTCCCTTATCAGTATTTGTGCCCCTGACCCTGCCTGGGAACTCTTACTTCCCCTCAATCTACAGAGAAAAAAATAAAATTAATGAAGAATGAAAACAGGTGGCAGATGACTGTACAGGTACCACATAGTATCTCAAAGAAACCCAATTCTTGAAATAATCCCCTTCTTTCTGGTTTTGAAAAGCCCCTGTGATCATCTACACCATAGGGGACTTGAAGCAGGACACCACGCACTGATCCTTCCCTGCAAATCAGCCCTGAGGTCCTTGAGACTAGTGGAATTTTAACACAGCTCTGCCACGCACAGCACCATTTCTGGATGCTTCAGTATCTCCATTGCACCTAACAAATACCAACAAAGCTCTGGATATCTGCTCTGCAGATCACAGCCACAAACACAGTTCAAACTGAAAAGAGCTGGCTCCAACCAGCAAAAGCACATCTGCTTTTGCACACTGGGTAGCAAGCTCCAACATATTCTGTCATCTATCAGGATAACCTCCACGTAGAAGGAGATCCGTCTGTGTTTCACTGCAAGAAAAACCATCTAAAAAAGTCTAATGTGGTAGACATAAAAAGTCACTTGGCATTCAGGGATGGAGTGAGTGACTCCTCCACTCTGAGGAAACAAACCAATTGGATGGGCTTTCTTGATAGATCTGAACTCTGTCACACTGTTGTCCAAATCTCTTTTTCCAGTAAGCCCCTGGACTCTCAAAGAGGACATCCCATCCCAGGTAGGAGACTTGCACTCCTGATGGTTGAGGTGAATTGGCTGTGCTCGCATAGGCATGCAGGGAGAGTTGCCATATTTCGGAGCGTGATTCTGCTTGAGACCACACTTGTCTACTGAGCAAGCAAGCCCTGGGAAAATGAAAAGGAGGAACCCGCAAATGGAATTGCCAAAGGCTGAGGAGGAACCCACAAATGGAACTGCCAGAGGCCAAAGCTGGCACAGAGGATGAGACAGGCTCTGGGTGTTGTGTGGGCTGAGAGCCAGGCTCGCTCCAGCCCCTGCCACAGCACAAGCCCATGCTGAGCCAGGAGTTCAAAAGCAGAAAACCCACTCCAAAGAGCAAGGCTCTGGCTGAATCACCAGAGACCGAGCACACTACATCCACACTAAGCCCAAGGAAAGGGGTGAACTGCTACTCCGAGCCTCCCTGACCTTAATCCATCATTTCCCCTCCCCAGCCCCGTATCTGAAGAAAGCAATCAGCCTAGGCAAAGTATTTCTAAACGCCCTGACTACTGCTGACAACTCAAGAGGCATTATCCTAAATTACTAACGGACCTATACTGACTTTACACAGAACATAAAAACTGCCCGCGAAACACTCCCGTGGCAATCCAAAAATATGCGTTTTGCAAATTCAGAGGCTTAGGCAAAGATCCCCTTGGTAAAAAGCCAGAGTGCGGTTGCCAAAAGTCAACAATGCGAATTTTTCAGATAAAGGAAACCTGACACCTCAAGCCCCACATTGCCTGCCATGTCCATTTTGGTTTCAAACAGTAATCGCTGTGGAGTCTTTTCCCAACGAGCCAAGAGATGGCTGAGGCTCCCCCGAGTCCAGCAAGCCTCTGTCTTCAAAGGGAGCAGGAGTGAGCGAGGAGTGATCAACATGCTAAACCACATTGGTTGGCCCCCACTGGCAACCTCCAATATTGGTATGGTCAGCAGGACAGAAGACCAAGTGCTGCTGATATGAGCTAGGTGAATGTCAAAAGGAGGAAAGGACCAGGGAGATAGCCAAAGAGATGATGACACTCAGAGATGCCAACCAGAATTAGCAGAGTAAGTGTAAGTAAATGAGGACAATACATCATGGTAATTAAAATTCTGCTTGTTTTTTTTTTTGTTTGGGGTTTTGTTTGTTTTTCATGAGCACTGAAGTAATAAAGATATAAAGGTAGAAACACCAATGAAAGCTGTGACCTTAGCTACAAGCCATAGAAAAAGGAGCCAAATATTACATTAGCAGGTTGATGACCATGCCTCATACTGTCTGGAGACCTTGCAAAGAATGGCACCTGCCAACTAATAGGCCAATCAAAGTTCAGTAGCTGCTGATCTCTGTTCTTCAGAGTCATTGTAATGGTCCACTCCCACCTCCTGCAGCCTTTGCTGCTAGAGACACAAGGAGCATGATGGTGAAGCAGAAACCTTGAGTTCCACCTAAAAGGCAAAGTTAACCTGTTGGCTGC